ATATTGTATACCTAAAATGTACCAATTATTAGAATGAATAATCCATAATGTAAAATAGGAAGAAAAGGTCCAAAGGGGTAGGGATAGTGGAAGGCATAGGGGAAAGGAAAGATGGGAAAGGAAAAAATGATGAGAAATGGATAAAATGGAAATAAAGTCTTTGTAAATAGGGAAGGGTGGAGGACGTGAAGGGAGGGTTAGGAATGGGGAAAAAATAAGAACCAAGATGCGTTATATAAAGGTACAATTCCCAATGAGAAAAAAAAAAAAGAGAAATACATGAACTTTTAATATAATTTTTAAATGTAATGCTGTGTGTAGTGTATAGACATATATTAAGTTTATCAAAGTGCAAGAATGAAATAGTTAGTTTTGCCTGAAAGTGAGTAGACTAATCAGGGCATTAAAGAATGAATGCAGACAGAATGAGGATACTGCAGTCAACTGAATTATAATAGTATGTTTAAAGAAAATATGAAGTCAGTGAAATTGAGTAGAAAAAGCACAGTGAAAACTGCCTCAGTAATTTTAGCTGGAGAGATGTAAGCATGATCTGTTGGGACCAGAAAGATTAAAATCAAGACAATCAAGAAGTAACTATAATATATATATGTGTGATGGGAAAGGAATGTGTGTTCTCATGTAAAACCAATACTTCTAGGGAAAAAAAAATCACCTTCCTTAAAAAAAAGCTTTTTTGCATGGAGAAGACTTCTTCGTATCTTATTTTGGGTTCCTTCATAAGCGAGCCTCTTCAAAGGTTCCAAAGCATGTCATTTATTTAAGAGGTAGTACCAGGGAGCACCACTAGGGTTTGGAGAAATGAGACCAAGAAGAGATGGCAGCCAATGAAAAGTTTTTAAAAATCCAGCAAGTTAGAATTGTAACTAAAACTTAGTTTCACCAGTGAGCTCTGAAAGCTAGAGGACAGCACAATCCTCAGTTATTCCACACGTGTAATAAGGAATTTGAGCAATTTGTATACCACTTCCTTCAGCCATGTCACACTATTCTGTAGCAAAATGGAACATTAATTCTGTGGCACTTGTAGACGTCTGCACAGGGTTATCAGGCAGCCAAGAGAGAGCTGTAAGACACAGAAGGAGAGTGCAGGTAGTTTGAAGTGAAGCAGTTATCTATGAAAGTAAAGGTGAAAAAAGGCCAGAGTTACATTTTGTCCTCATAAACGATAATCATGGTCATGAATCTTCATTTTTTTCTACTTATATGCTTTCTGGTTACTCTTTATAGTTCTTAAATGTTCTAATACTGAATGTTTTTTGTTTTCTTTTTTCCCCCGTGGCAGACTAACCAACACTTTCTGAAAACAGTAACTGAGCAAAATGCGGAAATCGAGCAACTTCGAAATCAACTTAGGTATTTTAAAAAATGAATTTTGTTAATTAGTAGTTATTTTTCTTCAGGGAACTGATGGTATCAATTTTTCATGTGACTTTTATCTTCCTCCTTTTTATTGGGCTTCTGTCAGTAACTTTTTGTACTTATGATCATCTAGGACAGGAAGAGACAGAAATCAAAATGGCTAGTCAGAAGGTAACTTTAACATGTGGGGGAATATATTGTGATGGTAAAACCAGTGACATGGCTGAAAAACAATTGCTTTAGAAAAAAATTATCCTACCCATAGAAGACTACTTCATATCTTTTTTTTGGACTCCCAAGAAAACAGACCCTAAGAAAGGACTCCAAAACCCATTGTTTCTTTAAGAGGTGATACTAAGGACCACTAATAGGAATGTGGGGGAAGTGAGACAAGAAAGAGAAAGAGAAGTCAACCAATATAGATAGTTCTTGACTTGTGATGGGATTGCATCCCAGTAAAACCATCTTATATTGAAAATAGCCTAAGTCAAAAATTCATATAACACACCTAACTTGTTCAAGTGACTCACAGAGCTTAGGAAAGCACTATATTTACTGTTCCAATATCATATAATGGATATAAATCAGTACCAGCCAAAAGAAAGAGCCTATAGGCCAGTGATGACAATCCTTGTTTTAGAGAGAGTGCTCAAACTGCAACCCAAAACCCACTTGTTTATTGCAAAGTGCCAGCACTGCAATTAAACCTGAATACTGAGGTTTTAGTTTAGAAAAACAACTTATACACTAACTTCTTTTGTCTTAAAAACAAATAACATGCATGCCATAGGCTGGGCACCACTGCCGTAAGGTTGACGTCTCAGAGGGTCCAAATGCAGAACTTTACTACTCTACTCGTGGAATCAAATTGTGTCACCCTCCTAGCACATTAGTGTGTTTAGCAGCCAGGAAGCTCACTCAGGCCTCTGTGTCCAGAGTTTTCACTGGGGTTTATTACATGTATACCATTGACTAGATCATTCCTAGAGTTTGAATTAAATCTCTAGCCCTCCTCACTTCCTTAGAGATCAGCAAGTTGGGCCTTTATCATGTGGCTCAAAGCCTTAATTCTCTAATCACATGGGTGTCTTTCCAGCATGGCCAGCTCCCATCCTGTAGCTATCTGGGGGCCAGCCATGAGTCTGTCCATTAGCATAAACTTAGGTATATTCAAGTGTCTTAACATAAATGATAAAAATCATTCAGGAAATACCAGGGGTTTGCAAGCTCTAACCTTGTCACCTGGGACAAAGACTAGCCAGATTATTGTACAGCTTTAATACAACACAAGAGAAAAATAAAAATCTCATGACTGTTATTTAGAGAGAACTATGAACTATACATTTTTAAATGTATAACCGAGGTCTGTGTGTATCTTTTTTGTGTGTGACTATGTGTGTGTGTGTCTTTATGTCTTTTAGTAAAAATGGGATAATATAAAAACTGGTTAATAGCTGAATTTCTTCACTTATTGATATATGAATATATATATACCCTTTTTGTGATGCTGGAGTTAATATTACCAGTTAATGTTGCACATGCAGTATTATGTGTACTATATTTATTACTCAAATTATTATTTTCTATGCACTGTTATTCCTATTCAGAATTAGTAGAATAACTTTTAAGGACTCCCTACTCATTAAAATTAGAATTAGAAAACATTACAATAGTGAGTATGTAACAAACACTCTGAAGTAGTTAAATAATATATTGTTGCTAATATTCAAAAAGTGAGAGTGAAACTTATCAGATTTAGGACCTTAAATAAAAGCCATCTTGGTCATATGTTTTGTTGCAATGAGCTTGTTATAACTTCCGTTAAATTATTTTATAGTAAAAACACTAGATGTTAAAGCAAAAACTGACAAATACAAGGCATGGTAGACAAACCTACAATCTTTGTAAAAACTTAGACTCTCATAGTGACTGATAAAAACAAGTAATGGAGGATGTGAATAATGTGATTAGCAACTTGATATCTTTAGAACATTGAACTCATTCTTCAGTAATCATTTAGTTAACATTTACTGTGTCCCAAACTCTGATCTTGGTACGTGGGATACATCAATTCACAGTACAGTACAGTTATAGGATTTTCTCTTTTTATAATTTCTAGCATGAGCAGACAGACAATAAAAAATATAATATTTAAATAATAAATAAGTTAGGTAATAAGAGTTTCAGAAAAGTAAAAAAGATCAGGGTTAAGACATTTTTGGAGTGATACCGTTGCACTTTTAAGCATCGTGTTCAGAGTAATCCTCATTGAGAGGCTGAATTTTAAACAAAAGTGAAAGATATAAATAAATTAGATATACAGTGTAGGGACTGTTGCAAGAAAAGAATTAGAAATTGCAGAGGTGGAAATAATAGCAAGGAAACTAGATGTGTCTGTTTTCTATTTCTTAAAAACAAACCAGTCTAATATTTTGTGGCTCACAAGAGTGCTTTATTTTGATTATTATTTTAGGGGCCCACAGAGCTGATTTCCTTGTCTGGGGCTGCAAGGCTAATATCTGCTGAACTTGCCTGTCCACTAGCGGGATGGTAGAGTACCTGCAGTGCTGGCCAGCCTATCTGGCAATTGGCAGACTTCACCAGGATCACAATAAAAGTCTTTGTCCTGTGCTTGACTATGGCAAGGTCCCTAGAGTAACAAGAGAGCAAACCTCATATGCATATTCTTCTTTAAGCCTCTGTTGAATCATGTTTATTCATGACTCATGCCAAAGCAGGTCAACTCAACTTTAGAAGATGGGGAAATAAATACCTTTCTTTATGGGAGTATTTTCAGTGTCATATTGCAGAGGTGTAAAGGTAGAGAGGAGAGATTTGTGGCCATATTTACAGTCTTTCCTTCCAGTATCCTCGGAGCAGAGTAAGCAGGAAAGAGAGTAATAGAAGACAAGATCAGAGAGGTTATACAGGAAGGCACATGAGATATGGCACCTTGTAGGCCATTGTGAGGACTTTGTTTTTTACTATAGATGAAATAGGGATAGTTTTTAGTAGAACATTGGCATATCTATCTGCCTTATATTTTCATAAGAACATAGCTCTGGTTGCCATAATGAAAGTAGACTGTAGAGAGGCAAAAGTGGAAGCAAGGAAACCAGTAAGAAGGCTATTGCAGTAACCCAGGAAAAATATCATGTTGACTCCACCATGGTGATAGCAGTGAGATATGGTGAAATGTGGCTGGATTCTATATGTGTTACTTAATATTTTGTATGGTAGATACAAGATTCCCTGATAAGTTGGGTGGGGGCAAGAGGGAGAGGTATTAAGGCATCAAAGATGACACCAAGGCTTTTCCTTGAGCAACTGTAAAAATGCCATTTCCATGGACTGAGAAGTCTGTGTAGCTTTCCTTATTGAGAAGTAAAGGAAAAGAGGAGGAATCAACAAAGAAGCTGGAAAGAGACCACTGAGATAAGAGGAAAACTAGGAAGTATAGTGTCCTAAAAGTCAACTGAGGGAAGTATACCAAGGAGAAAGGAATGATCATTGAATCAAGTGCTGAGGATTGATACAGTAGGATGAGTCTGAGAATTAAACATTCACATTAACAAAAAGGGGGTTATGTTAGTTTTCTAGGGCTACTATAACAAATTACCACAAAAGTGGTAACTTAATAGAAATTTATTCACTTCTAATTTTGGATACTATAAATATGAAATCTCGGCAGCAGGGACTTGCTCTCTCTCTCTCTCTCCAAAGCTCCAGTGGAGAGCTCTTTAGGGAAGAATATTTCCTTGTATCTGCCAGCTGTTGGTGGCCTGCAGTATTTCTCAACTTGTGGCAGTATATCTCTAACCTCTTTCTTCCTCTTATCTGTGTTTCCTGCATACCTTCTCTTCTTATAAGCATACAAATCTTTGGATTTAGAACCCATCTCAAATCCAAAATTTTATCTTGAGATCTTTCCTTTAACCTGCAAAGACTATATTTTCAAATAAGGTTTTAGGCAGATATGAATTTAGGGGTGGGAGGAGACTATTCAGCCCACTATAGAGATCATTGTGATTTTTTTTTTTTAGAATTTCATTACTTTTTATTATACACCAACTTGTTTATATTTTAGTTTCTTTACAAAGAAAATTATAATCACATGTTATATGGTTTTAAAATCATAATTCCAGATTTCTTTACATATAAGATGTAATGGTCCAGCAGCTATGTCCACTGTCACAGACTTTAGTTCCGTTCAATGATATGGCACATCCTGCAAAATTAACTAGTCATACATAAAAAAAGTCAAATACAGTAAAAATGTACACACAATAAAGGTAATTTACAATGACAAATAAGGAATGTAATTGATCTTGGCTATGCTTTAGAAATTGAGGGTCAATAGCCTTAGTCAAGGCACAGAGCAGGAAGAGGTGAGCACAGCTATCTTTAGGAGTAGGCAAGGTATATAGAATCACTGATGAGGTATGCATGCACTGAAAGGATTTAAAACTGCTCAGTCTTGCTATGAAAATTGAACTGAGTTAAAAGGAAATGCTGTGGCTTCTCCCTACTATCCACCATTGTGGATCAAGTCCACAATCTTACTTCATATAGAAAATGAAACTGGCAAGGATCTCCAAAAGTAAATCACCATTTGGGGAATAGTGAAACAAATAGCGTCACTAATCCCAAAACTTGGTTGTCCCTCCTGGACTAGAAGCATTTTGTAGACAAAGGAGTGTTTCACAAAATTGAAATGTCATTCAGGTGAAGGATAAGACATTTTCCACAGACACTTAGAATTTCAAACTGTGAAATGGCCCTTATAGCTGAAACATGGTTACAGCACTGAGCGTTCTGGGGATTCTTTAGCAGCAAATACCAATTTAAAGGGTACGGGGTCTCTTCAGGTTAATTTGCTTGCTGGCTTGTTCTTCTTGTAGAGCTGCGTAAAAAGATTTCACTTTATCCCGCAGCTCAGTTAAAATGTCTATTTTTTGCTCAAGAATAGCTTCAAGTTGTGTAGCATATGAATC